AAATTGAACAAAGAGGGTAGAAATATAATTTAAAAAATGAAATATAATGTATTCAAGCCAACACTTGTACATGAATAGTAATAGGTCTGGAGCCTTTGTGCAAAATAACCATGTTATTAAAAAGTTATAGCATTTGCAGTAGAGAGTAATTATCAAAATGAAATCTGATTCAACAGCCACTTCTGCTTGATTGAACATCCCTAATGGAAAATAAATGTAATTTCATCCCAAGGTATAATCACTGTTAAGTTCAAGCATCCCCTCATTCGATTTCTGCAGTAGTGAGACTGTATCTTGGGAGTTTTTGAGGTGGAAAGGCTCTAATTATCAGAGCTCTGTCGGGGCTTTTACGGATCACTGGCCTATTCCGACAACAACACCAGCCTTCCTTTTCTCTGGACAGTACGCAATTATAGGAAGACATCAACCTATTATGTTCTCCTAGAAAGGTTATTGAACACACACCTGTAACCACGTCACATCTCCGGAGAGTGTAGGACATATCCCAGAGTGTAAATGTTACTTTTGACAGCTCTATACCAAAATCAGTGACTTTTAATGTACAAATGTATATGTAAGTTAAACAGATGATGGGGTGTCACATAAAAAAGGGTTTAATGCATATCAAACATTTAAGAGTTCATATTTTGTCAGGCTAATCTTCACTGACTCATTAGCTGCCCAATAGCTAATATTAATCTCTATATGTATCTTAATCCCATCAATTAGTATCTGTTATATAATGTCAATTTCTGGATTTTCTTTTTGATATTCCGTCTCTCATTAGTAAAATAAAACCACCATTACAATTATAGACTGTTGATTTCTTAGTTAGTGGGTAAACTTACAAAATCGGCAAGGGATCAAATACTTATTTCCTCACCTGTACAGTTTATGCAATGGAAGATAATCACATAAATGGTCAAGTTAAATCGCTGTAATAAAGTAAAAGGAGTGGGAGTTCCCAGGAAAGCAATGGGGATCAGCATCTCTGTTTGGCCTGAAGTCTCCACTCTTTACATGCTGCATAAATGTTGACTTGAATTCCAGGTGGGCGAGGAGAACCGCAGATTCAAATCAAAAACAGAGCCAGGTCAACTGTCTCTAGAAAGCTGCAGAGCTAAAAGGGGAAGCACAATAGATACCAAAAACTAGGAGACTGCTGTTTATTTCCTGTGACAAATAGAGCTTACTTAACCTATTTTGATACATCACATCATTATATTTACCTACCTTCATCACGTCAATTAATTTATTTTATTTTCAAACCTAACCATGATCTTTGCATTGTTCCCTCTCTTAGACTTTGGACACTTTTTAATATAACTAGTGACATCTCTAATTTCTCTGTGGTGCAGAGAAGAGATCTGTTCAACAATGGCTAAATTATCATATGTGAGAGGTTTTCCAATTCAAAAAGTGTCCGAAACAGAAAGTTAGAAAACCCAAATACACCAGATTATACTTTAAGGACTCCTTTTTGATGAGTTAATAACTATTCATTCACCAAAAAAACAGGAATGACCATTACAAAAAGAGTGATGGTCATTTATAATCTTCTTGTAAGACCAATTGAGTTCCCATATGGACAGCAGACAATCCCAGGGGAGTGAAGGTGGGTGTGGATGGTGGTGGGGGGGAGGGGTTGTACAGTGTGCAGGGTGTGCAATGTAGCCGCTGTGGCCTGCAGCTGTGATAACGTGCAGATGTGTGGGAAGACCCAGGCACCAGCTGACCTCTCCAGAAGTTGAAAGGCCAATGCTTCTTCAGAAGTCAGTCCAGCCTTTGAAGTGTTAAGAGTGCCGGCCTGGATATCACAGGAGCGAGTGGCCATGCAGCGTTGGTAAACCGGCTCTTAACCTCTCAGCCCCCCACCCCTGCTCGGGAGCCTCTCACACAGATTAGACTCTCTGCTGGCTTCATGGATATCAAAAACGACAACCAGACCAGCAAAAAAGAGGGATGGTGATTGAACATTTAGTTAATTATTGATTCATTTTCCAAGTCTGGACACGTAATACTTTGTTAAGTTTTGCACAATTGGAATAGTATGCTTATTCTCTTCAATATCTGCCTGCTATGTGGATCTCAAAGTCAAAGTCAACTTTATTGTCAATCTTTCAGTTTGTGTGTACAGACAGAGAGATCGAAATATTGTTTCCCACGATCCCAAATACAAAAACATATATATATAAAAATATGGATGCAAATATGTATATACCTATATATACATAATCAAAGACAAATGTATACCTATGCACACATTAAGACCTAAATAACAGCACAACAATCAAAATATACAAAAATAACAGTCACTTCAATATCTGTTTGTTTGATAAAACAGATACTCATTTAGTGGGAATGCTGATACAGCATTCCAACAATCTGTTATGCTACGCACGAAATTCTTTATTCCGCTTTTTTTTTTTTGCACCTCTTCTTCTCCCACATTCCACATCGCAGAAACTCCGTTCAAACATCAAAACGTTCAGCTCGGTCGGGAATCGATGGCTATTACTTTTATCATTCATAACTTTTATAATTCTAGAGATACATCCCATAATTCATCACATTTTTAACATGGAAGTCAATGGAGAAACTCTTCAGACTTGAAAAATCTTCATGCGACTTCAACTGCTAACTGTTCCTTCTTCAACTACCAACTGCTCCTTCATACTTTCACTCAGAAACCTCATTCCAACTTTAAAATGTCACACATCTTTCTGACATTATTTGTGTAACACAACTTTTAAATCTGATTTGTACTTT